CCTACCAATGGCGCTCACTCGACCTTGAGCTCACTAGAGGTAGTGCCAAACGACGATGCCTGAAAATGGCTGAGATGGCCGCCGATGACGACGATGTCCGCCTGAGGGAAAGCGTTGTGGTGGCCGTTTGTCAACTCCGTGGAAGATCCTGGAGCAACTGGTGCAGCAGCAGATAGAGTGGCCAATGGGATTGGAAAGGGATCTTCCTGGACGTGATTAACGGACAGTGATTGTCCGAAACGAGGCCATGGCCCGTTACAAGGAGATGGCCCTTAAGTGGCCTGGTAAAGGCTTTGAGTGGCCATGATGCAAATGGCCACTGCGTGGCCCGGTGATGGCTCGAAGATGGTTTTGTATGGCCTGGAGATGACCCAGAGTGGCCCGTAGAAAGAGCTCTCCTTGATAGAGTGATGGCCCAACGTGAACGGAGGAGTTGCTGCCTTTGCTGACGAAGATCGGGTGACAAGAACTTGCCGAACGTGACTGAGGACCAGAAGACCGGATAAAAGCTGAAAAGACCAGAGTTGCGTGCGCAATTGAGCGCCGCAGTAAACCAGTGTTGCAATGCGCAGTGTAGCGCCGCCGTACTCTATGCCGAGGAAGCCGCCAACTGGTGGTCAAAGGGGTCGCCGGTAGACTTTGTCTCGCGATACCTGGTGATAAACGCTGTCCTATCCGACGCATGAGTCAGAAGTCGCCAAAAATGGGACGCCCTTTGGAGCTGGTCAAGAAGAGTGGCTGCCGAACAGGAAGCGCACTAGCTGTTAGTGGTTTTGGAAGTGACTGGTCAAAAGAGGAGGGGCTGCAGATGACCTTGCAACAATATTCTCAACGATGAACCACCATCAAAAGATGATGCACCGGAGGAGTTGATTTCCAAGTGCACAACCACCGAGGGACGCCAAAGTAGAACAACTGGAAAAGTCCACCAAAAGGACTGTGGTGGTATGCTGGCGCCGGGACGACAACAACAACGAGGACCTGAGAGGCTCAAAAAAGCGCGCCGAGAAGTGCCCGACCAACGGAAGTGTTGGTTGTCTTGTTTTAGGAATCGGGGAAATGTTAGACAAGAAATTCCTTAACCAAGAGTCAGCCAACGGAAGAGTGGCGCGCCGGACTTTGAGCGGACAACTGCTGACAAACATTGCATGCCGAAGAGTACTGAAGAACTGAAGTGATGAGTATGTCAGTAAGTGAACAGTATAAAGGGAGCCGCCACCGCTAGTGGCTGGTTAGTTGGAGATGAGCTACCAAACGTACCACCAAGAGATAATGAAGATGCCTCCAACTCCACTCTACGAGATAGAGTGCTCCGTGACCTTTTCCTTCATCAGATTGCGACCAACACCTTTCTACCTGTATTAACGAGATTCTGTACTAACTGTGAATCGCCCAATAATAAACTGCGTAAAATCAGCTACTTGTGTTTTGCCTGATTTTGGCAAAGTGCCTCCAGTCACCAATTTGTTCAGACAATGGTCAAGTCACATCAGATCTCGCAAATTTGAACTGTGCACCATTAAGAACTTTACATCACTTTTTCGCAGATCTCTAATGTGACTTGACCACTGTAAACTTCCGTCGACGAGGGACCTGCGAGCGAAGCAAGCAGGGCCCGAGGTAGCGGAAGTTTACAGTGTACAAGTGGTGCCAGACCCCGCCGCTTTGTGCTGTGCACCGCTAGGTGGGATTACTCTACTGTCGACGGAAGTTGACAGCGGTCAAATCACGTCAAACCTAGCCGCGTGCAAAGCTATTACTTAAAAACTACTTTATCGCGAATCTCTGATGTGACTTGACCACTGTTAACTTCCGTCTCTTCGGGCCCTGCTCGCTTCGCTTGCAGGTCCCTCGTCGACGGAAGTTAACAATGGTCAAGACACATCAGACCTCGCGAAGTGTAGGCGTGCACCGCTAACAAACATCAATCATTTTACCGGCGGCTCACCCGACATCGCTCGCTTCGCTCGCGGGACCCGAGGCAGCGGAAGTTTAAAGTGTACAAGTGGTGCCAGACCTCGCCGCCTTGTGCTGTGCACAGCTAGGTTTTTGCAATTATAATACTCTACTGTCGACGGAAGTTGACAGAAGTTAAGTCACGTCAAACCTAGTTGCGTGCAACGCTAGGACTTTAAAACTACTTTATCGCGAATCTCTGATGTGACTTGACCACTGTCAACTTCCGTCTCCTCGGGCCCTGCTCGCTTCGCTCGCAGGTCCCTCGTCGACGGAAGTTAACAGTGGTCAAGTCACATCAGACCTCGCGAGTTTGAGCCGTGCACTGCTGCAGAATGCATGTGCAGTCACTCTGCTGTGCAAACACATTAGCTGCAAACAAAAGGAAAAACTTTGTCCCTTTTAGTGAAGGGAATGATAGCGCTCCCAAGGGACCACAGTCAGTCTGCATTTGTTAGCAACGGCAGGATGCTTCTTTTTCCCCACTGTTGGCCGTGCATTATTTTTGGGTTCTTTCGGGTTCCTGGATCTCGGGCCCCGTTGGTCGTACAACTCTAATTCTTTCACCTGAATTTTTGTTGGAATTAATGTGATTTTTGTGCCAAATTTGGGCAAAATCGGATAATGGGAAGTATTAAATGGTTTTACACACATGACACCGGACAAACGAGTAAGATTATAAGCGGGCTTTTTTAAAAAAAAATCTCGCTAACAACAGCACTTAAAAGCTGTTTTGCTTGCAATTTATTTGTAATTTGAACCAAAATAAATTTTTTTTGAAACTAATCGAATGTTTATTTCTTTTTCTTTTTTTCCATTTTGCAGGAGCCTTATTCACTGACGACGACAAAGACGGGCCCTCTGAGTTGGCCTTCAAGTACGCCGTCTATCGCATCAACAAAGACCGCACACTGCTGCCCAATCGGACGCTAGTGTACGACATTCAGTACGTGCCCAAAGATGACAGTTTTCGAGCTTCCAAAAAGGGTAAATAAACCAGGGCTTTTTTCCGCAAAAAGCTGATAGCTTTTTAACGCAATCTCTTTTGTTTTGATCTTGTTATAAAATCCGTGCAGCTTGTAACCAGCTGTCCAGCGGCGTCAGCGCCATCTTCGGCCCGCAGGATCCGCTCCTCGGCGAGCACATTCAGTCGCTGTGTGATGCACTGGACATTCCGCACATCGAGGCCCGCCTGGACCTGGAGACGGACCTGAAGGAGTTCAGCATCAACCTCTATCCGAGTCCGGCGATCATCGGTCGGGCCCTGCGCGAGCTGATCGTCTACCTCAACTGGACCAAGATTGCCGTCATCTACGAGGATGATGTCTGTAAGTGGTGGTGATGGTGGTGCTGCTGATAGACGATTTTGCTGATGATTGTTGTTGATAAAAAATGATGATACGTTTTTTACTGATATCGGTTTGTTTTGTTTTTCATCAGCGCTCATCAAGCTGCAACAGCTCGTTCGGCCGCCCCTTTCCAAGCAGGTGCAGTTTATCTTTCGAAAGGGAAACGCGCTCTCATTTCGTGATGTCCTCATCGACGTTCGTGCCCGAGGCGTTTACTCGCTCATCATTGACACGCGTCCTGAGTCGCTGCCAAAGATTCTCAATGCGGTAAAGGAGACTCTAAATTCGGTAGTTTAAAACGACAAAAGTGACACATTTTTCCTCTATTTTTGTAGATTCTGCAAACGCAAATGAACAACTACAAGTACCACTACCACTTTGTCACCTTTGACATTGAGGTGTACGATCTGGAGAACTTTCGCTACAACTTTGTCAACCTGACCGCCTTTCGGCTGGTCGACACGGAGCACCCTTCAGTGCGGCAGATTCTACGAGATATGGAAAAGTTTCAACCTAAAGGGCAGCCCATACTCAATCGGACCAATGTGCTCAGGGTAATGACCATTTTACAAATGATTTTAATACTTTTGTGCCTAGATTGCTAACTTTTGTTTAACACTTTTTCAGGTTGAACCGGCGCTCGTCTTTGATTCGGTGTATGTTTTTGCGCGAGGACTCCAATCGCTGGATCGAGGCGCCACGCTGACGCCTGTGAACGTCAGCTGCGACAATGAGACTCCCTGGGCAGACGGCAGCTCACTTTTTAATTACATAAATTCGGTAACTCCACAATTCTAACAACAAGAGCCGAGAGTGTGATAAGCAATCATCAACAAAACTTAATCTTTTCAGGCTGACTTACGCGGACTGACCGGTCGTCTCACTTTTAAAGAAGGCTCTCGCAGCACTGTCAAACTGGACCTACTAAAACTGCGCAGTACAGAGCTGGAAAAGGTATCTCCTTATGAAAGTTCTCAAACTCTTCTTAAACCTAAACTTCTTTTTGTCATCACCTCCTCTTCAGGTGGGCGAGTGGTCCACCGCTGGCGGCCTGAACATCAGCAACCACGCCGCCTTCCACGACTTCGGCACCACCAACATCACCCTCAGAGTGACCACTATCCTCTCGCAACCGTACGTGATGATTCGCGGCCTGTCCACCACCGGCGGCCTCTCTCCGGCCAACTACTCCGCCTACACTAATGACCAGCTGGAGGGCTTTTGCGTCGATCTCCTCAAGACGATAGCAGAGAACCTCAAATTTCAGTTCGAACTCTATCTGGTACCGGACGGAAAGTACGGTGCAGAGAACACCACCACCAAAGAGTGGAACGGCCTGGTGCGGGAGATCATCGACAAGAACGCCGACCTGGCCGTCGCCTCGATGACCATCAACTACGCCCGTGAGAGCGTCATTCACTTCACCAAGCCGTACATGAACCTCGGCATTGGCATTCTCTTTAAGCTGCCTTCCGCTGCGCCCACTCGTCTCTTCAGCTTCATGAGCCCCCTTGATGTGGACATCTGGCTGTACGTGCTGGCCGCCTACATCATGGTCAGCATGACGATGTTCATTGTCGCTCGCTTCAGCCCAAACGAGTGGCGATCGCCGCACCCGTGCGTCGCCGCACTCGCCTCCGCCTCCGTCGCCAACGACGACCCCTCGATGATGATGAACTTCTTTGCTCAGGAGCCAATGGAGAACCAGTTCTCGATGGCCAACAGCTTCTGGTTCACCATTGTGACGCTGATGCACCAGGGCTGTGATCTGAACCCGAAGGCCGCCTCCACCCGAATCATCGGCGCCATTTGGTGGTTCTTCACGCTGATTCTCGTCAGCTCGTACACCGCCAACCTGGCCGCCTTCCTCACCGTGGAGCGGATGATCACGCCAATTCAGAGCGTCGAGGACCTGGCGACGCAGTCGAAGATCGCCTACGGGACGCTGGAGGCGGGCAGCACAATGACCTTCTTTCGGGATTCGCAGCTAGAGACCTACCAGAAGATGTGGCGCTTCATGGAGAATCGGCCGTCGGTCTTTGTGAAGGACTACGATGAGGGCGTGCGAAGGGTGAATGAGGGCAACTACGCCTTTCTCATGGAGTCGGCCATGTTGGACTACAAAGTGCAGCGGAACTGCAATCTGACGCAGATTGGAGGGCTGCTTGATTCGAAGGGCTATGGAATTGCCACGCCAGTGGGTAAGTGGTGTTTTGGGTTAAAACAGTTTGGGTTGAGTTGTTTTCATTGATTTTTTTCTTTCTAAAGGTTCCCCATGGCGCGACAAAATCTCCCTGGAGATACTGCACCTTCAAGAGAAGGGCGTCATTCGAATGCTTTATGATCGTTGGTGGAAACGGCCGGGCATTACCTGCTCCCGCGACGACAAATCAAAGGAGGGCAAGGCGAATGCCTTGGGTGTGGAGAACATCGGCGGCGTCTTTGTGGTGCTGCTGGGCGGCCTGGCCGTGGCCATCGTCGTCGCCTTCATCGAGTTCTGCATCAACAGCAAGAAGAATGCTCAAAACTTGAGGGTAAATGCTAAACATTAAAAACATTTGTAAAGCACAATCTAACATTTTTTTGGTGCGTTTTCAAATTAGCAATCACTGTGCACTGAAATGTCCGACGAGCTGCGGATTGCCGTCAAGTGTCACGACTCAAAGCAGCGACCGGCTTTAAAGCGAAAGTGCTCCAAATGTGTCACCAACTCAAAGCATCCTTCAAGTGGTGGTGGTGGTGGAGGCAACCTCTGCACTGATCCCGACTGTACGGCAGGCTGTGATATGATGGGCGGTGATATGATGGGAGGAGGAGGCGGTGGTGGAGGTTGTGGTCACCACCAGTGCACCCAGTCCCAGCACCACGTCCTCGAGCAGCATCCCAACACGTACGTGCCCGGCCTGGCGGACCACAGTGAGGCCTATCATCACCGAGGATGTGGTGGTGGTGTTGATGGAGGTCACCCCTCAACGAGTGGA